GTTCCAGGGTCAAATGGTGGGGAGTCCCAGATTTAAACCCTGTGGGAGTATCCGCCCAAAGCAGGACAAAAGGATGGATGACCAATATGTCAATATTATGACCAATAAACAGGCAATATGTCTGTGACTGAGAACCTTCACAGACATATTTGGTCCCTACAATCACATTTAAGATGAGTGTTAGCATTACCTGAACCTGTGCACTTCCTTCCCAGAGTAGAGAGAATACAGCAGAGTAGGTGCCATTGAGATAATCTGTTATATGCCCTGCAGCACCTGCACCAAGAGTCAAGTTGTGTAGCCGGGCTAGTAAGACATCTCCGCCGGACTTCTTTGGATGGCCTTGAAAGTCATACATTTTTATCATAACCTCCAGTTTATCACCTATGTACCACTGTTCTCCCCTCTTCCTTGGGAGAATGGTGAAGGTGCTATGGGCTGGATCACTGGTGTTGTTCAGAGAAAGAGGAGATGGTAATGGTGGAGTTTTAGGCCAAGCGATGGACTCTAGTACAAGGTGTTCTTCAAGAGCTTCCTCGGGGGACAGTGGTTTTAACTTGCAGAAGTTAGAATACATGTCAGCAGGTTGGGTGACAGTGGCAGCTCCTGGGATGATGATGGAGATGTCCAGTTTATCCCAAAACTGAAAAATTTGTGTGGCAAATACAAAAAATAGCAAATATACTCATTCATAATTCAGCTTTAGTTTTTAACATAATATGATGAAAGATTATTTTTGTGCAGGTATCCCTTCTTTCATTGTTTTTCATAGGTTAATGCAGTTTGTCTGCCACCTTGTTTTTCAATAGAATAATCATGGAATGAATACATATAATACTGTTCTGTGCATTTTTAGCCTTGCTTGATCCATTGTCCAATTTCAAAAAGAGTAAAGACTGCTGCCTTAATCTATCACTTTGAGTTTTCCTCTTAACCAGCTGCCTAAAACCAAACAACAGCACAGCTAATGCCGAGCTACAGAAGAGAGAATTTATATCCTGTTCATAGCCTGTACATAGCTTGTACTCACTACAGCCTGTTATAGTTATAGAATATTCACAACATACTTCATACCGTGTACATTATAACATACCATAATAGACCTATTTCTGTAATATACTCACATATCTATATTATTGCTAATATATATTGTAATATATCTATATCACTAAAGCACTTCTGGATGGATGCAAACTGCATTTCGTTGCCCTGTACCTGTGCATGTGCAATGACAATAAAGTTGAATTCTATTCTATTCTATTCTATATATTTGATTAATAACTTTTTTCAGCAGATATTTTTTATCAGTAAGCCAAGCATGCTGTACACTTACAAAGTAGTTATCAATTAAAAGTAAACAATCTAATTGTCACGGTTCTGGGTCAAAAGCATTTTCTGTTTCTGTTTTGGGTTTTTCTAAATTATGATTTGATCGGATTTTTGAGTTGTGCTGGTTTGATTTTGTATTAAGGGTTATTCTTGGTTGTGTTCTTTTGACGTTATTTGTTGTTCTGGCCTCTAGTTTAAGTCACTGTCTTCTCTCTTTCATGTGTTATATTCTTTCAGTCTGTCTCTCGGTGTCAAGTTTGCGTTTTTGTGATTTGTTTCGTATTTCCTGTTTTATTTTGCTAGTCCAAGTCCTATGTCTGTGTATTCAGTTTTACCTGCCCCAGTCTTGTTAGCCCTAATCTCTCCCAGCTGTACTCCTGTTTCCCATTCTCTGATAGTAATCAGAGAATGGGAAACAGGAGTACAGTGCATATAAGCCCTGTGTTTTCCTTTGTTCTCTGTCGTGTCGTACCCTCAACATGCTGTGTGTTTGTTATGTCGAGGCTTCCAGCGCCTCTGTTCTGAGTTTTGTTTTGTGTTGCTTTTGTGAGTTTATTTTACGAGGACGTTTTGCCAGCAATAAAGCTGCATTTTGAGTTCCAGTCCCGTTTTGAGAGTCCTGCATTTTGGGTCCTTTCTCCTGCCTGCCTGCCACACAGCACAGCCATAACAGTAATGTTTAAGTATATAGAATTATAGGTGGCTGCTCACTACAAATATACTTCAAAAAGTGATCAACAGATGTGTTTCAACCTCCCTTGATTTGATATGAATCATAGTATGGCTGCACATACAGTACATCATTACTTACAATGCATTATTACAGAAACTTGAATCAACCTCAGAATTTGAACCTTGGGCAGAAGGTTAAAGCTTATAACAAACACATTATTTGCTTGTAGGTCTGTGGAAAAATTTGGGTGCTGTGCTTTAAATTGTTTACAAGTATTTTTTCAAGTCTCGGACCACAAATCCTGTGTCAGAGTCTGTGTTTGCAGACTGCGTGGAGGTTGGATTGTGGACCAAAAACAGACACATGGAAACAAAACATGAGCCATTTATTAAAAAAATTGGTGAGCAATAGAAACGGAAGGTACAGTAATTCTCTTCTCTATGGTCTACCTGATAAATCGCTCCATAAATTGCAGCCCGTTCAAAACACTGCTTCACTTGTTGTTTCCAGAATGAGATCCACTGAACATATAACACCTGTTCATAAACAGCTCTACTGGCTTCCAGTTCACCTCCGTGTCAATTTCTCTCCTCCATATTTATCTGATCTTCTCCACACATACTCGCCTCCTCGTACACTCCGCTCTGCTTCAGCTTCCCTTCTGTCTGTTCTACCTGGTTGCCTGACTGCCATGGGACTCAGAGCCTTTAGCCATTCTGCCCCGAGACTTTGGATGCACTTCCACCAGATCTCCGGACCACAAACTCTCTCATCACTTTTAAATCACATCTTAAAACCCACTGTTCATCTTTGTGAGCAGTTTTTAAATCACTTCACTGATAAAATTTCTACCTTAAAAGCTCCGGTGATGTGCCAAGCCCCTGATTTACGCTGCTCTATGACACTTGCTCAGTTCAAACCAGTGTCACTTCCTACCCTTAAGGGAATTATTGGCCGTTCACGACATTCTCCCATCTCACATCATTAAGGAGGGATTTAATGTAATTGGGCCTTGTATATTATCACTAATCAATCTTTCTTTGTCACTGGGTTGTGTTCCGGCTGCCTTTAAACATGCCGTAGTGAAACCTGGTCTTAAAAATCGTTCCCTAGATCACTCAAACCTCGCTAATTACAGACCTACCTCGCAACTTCCGTTCCTGTCAAAAATCCTCAAGAAGATAGGTCTGAAGTTGTGATAGGACTATCTGAATGTGAATAACATCTGGGATAAATTCCAGTCTGGGTTTAAACTATGGAAACGGCACTCTTGAGGGTCTTCAATGATCTTGTAATTACTGACTCTGGGTGCCCCGCGGTCTTCGTTTTGTTGGACCTGTCCTCTGGTTTTGATGTGGTGGACCATAATATCCACTTAATGAGGCTTGAACATCTGGTTGGCATTACGGGTATGGCCCTTAGTTGGCTTAAATTCTACTTATCGGAGAGGTCCTTCTCTGTCACGATGGGTACCTACTCCTCTTCCACTGCCCCCGTTACCTGTGGTGTCCCTCAGGGGTCTGTGCTGTTTTCTCTATATATGTTACCCGTTGGTCGTATTATTGACAAGTACAAACTCTCTGAGTACGCTTGGGGAGTGTGATCGTGTGTACAGCGTCTCTTTATGTCTGTCTCCACGTTGGTTGAGTGTGGAGTAAGTGCATATGAGAGCATGAGGGTGGGAATGGATGTTTGTATCTGTGTGTGCCTGTATGTCTGTGTCTATATGTCAGGTTGGGTGTCAGGCGCCACCTCTCTGGGGACATCTCAGGCCCTCCAAGGTTTGGAGGCCTATCTCCCCCTACCACCACTTCCCCTGCCAGTGGCGGACTCCCTCAGACATCGGTGCGTTGGTGGTTCTTTGTGTCCGGGGATGGGCGTCCAGGTACACACCGGCTCACTCCTTGGTCGGCCGCTTATGGCCTGAGCCTGGTCGCGGGCCCTGGAGTGGGTGCCCCGCTTGGCCTGGGGCTCGGTCACTCAGGCACGGCTGGCTGCCGGCGGAGCTCACGGGCGCGTCACTGCAACTCCCCCTGGCTTCTGCTCCGCGGCTGCTGAGTGAGCCCTCATCTGGGACTCTCCTCAGCTCTTTCTGGGACAGTGGCGCGGCTGCCCCTCTGTTGGTCTTCCTTGGTCTCTTGTGTTCTGGGGGCCTCTGGATGTCTGGAGTTTTGATCTCCTCCATACCTGCTTCATGCCCTGGAGGACGGGGCTGTGGCCCCCCCACACCCTCTAGCAGATCATTACATGAAGGAACCTTTTAAAAAAACAAGCGCGTCCATGCTCACAGGTGTACACACGGGTGATCACACCCACAAACTACACCCTTTTTGGCTCCTACCTCAAAGCACACTGTGTTCTGTTGATCTTATGTGCTGCACAATAATGTTTAATATTTAGTATTTACTGTCATATTCCCATATATCATTGTGATGTTGTTTATTCTATTACTCTTGTTCTCTTCTGCTTGCTTTCTTTTTTCTTTCTCAGCAGGTGATCCAGGTGATTGATATATGCATTTTTTTTCTCTGCCCGTTTTGTTGGTTTTTGTCTTTTGCCCTTCTCCCCCGTCCCTCTTCTCAGCTGTTTCTCTTTCCCTCTTTCTTTCTCCCCTTCTTTCCCCCAGTCAAGTCTGTCCCGTATTCAGTAAGTGAAAATAAAATAAACAATAAAAGGTGAATCAAATGGACCATTACGGCAAGGCTGGGATGGTCAGTTTGGTAAAGTAAATCCGTTGGGCATCTTTCTTTGCCTTTAGACAACAATTCTGATGCAAAAGAGCCAAACGGGACAGGCAAAAAAACAAAAAAACAAAAAAAAAACTCTCTGATCATTGCTACGTGGATGACATTCATATTTATTTTGAATTGACTGAGGATGATACTTCATCAATGCTTCGCTTCTTCGATTGTATAAATGAAGTTAAAGACTGGCTGCTGAGCAATTCCCTTATCCTTAATAACAAGAAAGCGGAAATTGTAATCTTTGACAGTCACACCCTGGAGCCCATCTAACTGGTGTCCTCGGGCCCTTTGCTGATTTCCGATTCCGCAAGTAATTTGGGTGTTTACCTGGACGGCTCCTTTAAGTTTGAGAAACATGTGTCCTCTGTTATTAAATCTTCTTTCTATCAACTTCGTTTAATTTCTAAGGCCAAGACATACTTACCACATGAGGATGTAGAAAAGCTTATCAATGGCTTTGTCACATCCAGGGCTTCATTCTGCCCTTCTTCATAGATTGCAACTCGTCCAAAACGCCGCGGCTCGCCTTCGAACTGGTACTCGTAGGGTTTGAGTCTATCACCCCAATTCTCACTGGCCTCCACTGGCTTCCAATTAAATACCGCATTGATTTCAAAATCCTACTGCTTAATTATAAAATCATAAATAACATCACACCTAGCTACCTTATTGATCTCCTTAGCGTGTATACCCCCAGTAGAACGCTGAGATCGTCTGACCAATTGCTCTTGGTGCAACCTAGGTCACGGCTGAAAGCAGAGGTGACCGTGCCTTTGCTTCATTTGCACCTAACCTCTGGAATAACCTCCCTCATACCATTCACGTGTCTGGCTCGAGCAGGCCTTTTAAGTGTCCCTTCTTGCCCTCCCCTTTCCTCTCTTTTGCTTACATTGTTTTTTTGTTTTAATCATTAAGTCTTGCTTGCTTATCTACGTACTTAATCGTTAATCAATGCCTCCCACCTGCTGCTTATCTGCCTTTGTACTTTACTACTATTTTATTGGATTATGTGAAGCACTTTGGCTACCTCTGGTTTTAAATGTGCTATACAAATAAAGTTGTATTGTATTGTATAGTATTGTATTGTATTGTATTGTATCTATTCAAAATTTCATACAGCTGATTCTGTCTTAGTCCATTTTTACCTTGCTCAGCTTTTATACTTTCATGCTTTTTAGTTTTTTGTTATTCACATTATGCCTAAATTTTATTTTGCCACGTTTTATTGTATTGCTGCTACTGTTCTGTACTATTGTAAGGTAACCTTGAGGGTCTTAAAGGTGCCTATAAATAAAATGTATTATTATTATTATTATTATTATTGAATTTTAAGTGCTTTTTGTATTAACATCTAATGAATAATTTGTATATTTATTTAATTAACACAAATATTTAATTATGTATTAAGTTAATTCATTTTGGTACTCGAGGTCCTCCATAACTTCAGGGTTGAAGTCTTTAAAGCTTAAAGTTTCTACTTCAGTTATATTAACTAATGAAGCAAAGCTACAAAAGGAGTCTTTGTAAAATAAATTATGCACCCACCCCCCCCCCCTTTTTTTTAAATTGTGCTAGTTGCTCTTTCTTTTCTCATTTCTGATTTTGAGAAAGTAAATAAAATTAAGAAAATTAACTAGTAAATTAATTACAAAAACAAATAATTAAAAAAAAACTCACATCCAGAATGTCCACGATGTATATAATCAGAATCAGGACAAACACAATGAGGAATACGAAGATGTAACCAGGCTTCGGAAGGCAGGTGGAGTGTTTATAAAGTAGGAACGTCATGATTGGAAAACGTCCTCATGTCTTGTTGCAGCGTTGTGCTGTGTGACCAGTTCACCTGGTAGTGAATGTAGAAGTGAGAAAAATAATATATCCCAGTTTCTTGACTGTGCTCTGCATTATGTATGTGGAAACTATCTTACTTTCACAGTTAAACATAGCAATGGTTAAGCGGAGAGTTATGTGGATCCTTCCAGGTTTTAATAATGGATCGGATTTTTATATCAGTTTCAGCAGACTCCTAGATGTTTTCTTTGCTTAATGAGTGACCATTCTCTGAAACAGAGTAAGACTTTTTCCAGTATTTTCACATTTCTTCTGACATCACCATTAAACAAATGAGAAGATATTCATTATCATTTTTTTTCCAATGTTTGTTGAATAGTAGGAAGATCCTGACATAAGTTACAGTTAATTTATAAAGATTCCTGAGAGGTAAAGAGACAAACAAATACATAGAGTCTAGTGATTAGTTGTTTCCAACTATAAATGTTTGGAAGAATCTCTAAGAAATATTTGTAGTGAAAGAAAAGTTATGTGAATTGAAATAGCAAATGCTGTAGTGTACAGGGAGTGCACATGTGGACAAAACAGAATTTCCAATGCTTTCATCATTCTAACAACTTACTTTCTTTATAAGATATCAGGAAAACTGTCTAATGTCATGTGCTACATAATCTAATAAACATAAAATACTTTGTAAATAAATTTAAAATTTCAATCAGGAAAGAGGAACGTCAAAGGTATAGAAATATACAGTTCAATAAACAAGTAAGAGCAAAGTATGAGACACAGAAGTAATGAATATGTAATAACTGCAATATTTTCTGCAGGAAAATGTGGATAAACAGTGTAAAGTTACCCACAGAGTTTATCCAAGGAATTTGTGTTAAATAGCCTTCTTAATGTTTGAACAATGTCAGTAATACTCAGTAAATCAGAATCTGACATTTCTTACTTTAGTGGAGGAAATGATTTTACCGAGGATCCAGTTCTGATGCTGACTTGCAGTTCAGTCCTTTTTTCCTGTCTTTGCTTCAATCTTGTTGGCTTCCAGGTAATTATTGCCTTTGGGTGAAACCAACATATCTTGCTCATTAAATTTTTGGCATCATTGTCAGGAAGTGGGTGGAGAGAAAGGTCTTTGGATACTAATCTTTGCACAGAGGGTGTTCTTTTATTATGTCAACAAACCAGGCAGATGACTGAGAGAGATATCGTTCAGGTTAGTTGTGAAATTATTATCAGACTGCTGTAGTTCAGTTTACCTCTCCTCCAGGCACCTGCAAGAACTGACAATCCATCATGTTTTGGTTCATCATGATATCTACAGACCTCCAAACTTCATGTGGGCTTCAGATAAGCTCTAGAACAGTGCATAGCAAACTAGATGAAATAGGTTTCCATGGCTGCGCAGCTCGATCCAAATCCTACAGCATCAACTACAATGCAAAGCCTTAGATGAAATGGTGTAAGGCACACTGCCACAAGACTCGTGAGCAGTGGAAACGTGCTCTTTGGAGTGGCGATTCAAACTTCTGAATCTGACAATCCAATGGATGAGCTAGGAGAACAGTACTCGTCTGACTAGGTTGTACCAAATGTCAAGTTGGGTGCAGGGGAGTGTTTGGGGATGGCCCCTTTCTGTTCAAACATGACTGTAAACCACTGCACAAAGCCAGGCCCATTGATGAGTGAGTCTGGTACAGAAGAACCTGACTGGCCCACATAGAGTCCTGACATCAACCCGACAGACCACCTTTGGGATGAATTAGAGCAGCGGCTGTGAGCCAGGACTTCTTATCCAACTTCAGTTTCTGACCTCACAAATGCCTTCTGTAGGAATGGCCAAAATTTCCCATAAACACTGTCCTAAACTTTGTGGAAAGCCTTCCCAGAAGACTTGAAATTGTTACAGCTGCAGAGCCAACATCAAAAGAATGGGATGTCACTTAAGTTCATATATGTGTGAAGGCAGGCGAGCAAATACTTTCGGCAGCATCACGTGAGTGTGAGTGTTATTTTGTTTCAAACTACTTCTGGGTGCTTTTTGGTTTCTCTGAGAACCAGCTCCTCTATGTGTCAAAGTTGTTTTAGCTAAGATTATAAAAAAGACACTGAGTGCATATAAAAGACAGACTTGGCCATTGGTTTGTGAACTAGACATCGCAAGTGTGAAACCAAGGGACACTCATATTTATGTGGTACCTAACTGTCAATCACAAGGTAGGTTCACTGCTAAGCACATCCTGTTTCAGCATCCTTAGAGATACTAAGGGAAACTCAAGTCTACGGGATAAAAAACCGAACTAATAGGATTTGAAACTAGAATTTAACGCTAGAAATGTATTTCATACCATAATCATATATACAGAAATTTAACATTGCAGCATGGACAACAGGTGACATGAATTTCTCCATGAACTTATACATTTATAATGACAGCAGTATCCCATAGAGACAATCTAAGTTTAAGGCACATTCTTATTTCTTCATTTTTCAACTCAGAAGGTGCGGCCAGTTGTTTTATGCAGTCTATCGTCTAAACACATCTCTTTGTAGACATACACTCTATAAGTCTGGGAAATGATCTGCAAATATTTCCTTTCTGCCAGCTCTCTGTTTAGTTTAGTTATGGATATTGGCATTAAGGCTTTGTTTTTGTTATTTTGGTACCACAGATCCTGAAGCCAGAATGGAGACCTTTATGTTCATGTAATAAAATGCCTTAATAAAACAATTTAAGAGCTGATAACTGAGAAACAGCTCAGCATTGCAGTATTATCTTGGTTTGGTTTTATGACTTTACAGCTTCAGTTCAGTCACTCCTTGACAGATTGTACCTGACACAGCAGGTAGCTGTTTTAGCAAAATGGCCCTAATAACCACTGAAGAAACATCTATTAGACAAGGTGGTGAGCATAGTGGATCATTTTCAGCTTAAGAGGAATATATTTCTTTGTTTCATAGCTGGAGAGCAGAGCACAGAGTGAAAAGTGGAGTTGGTGGGTGGTAACTAACGCAAGTACAAATGAAGAGCTGCTCTGTGTCTGCTAACTTTGAAAAGCACCTTAAAAACCTGAAGCCCTATTTTTACTTTAAGTCATTTATTGTGATTCAGGCCAGTGTCAGGGTTTTACCTTTCAGATATTTTTCATCAATGTGGCTGTGATGATTTGTTGAAATCCTCACATCGAGTATTTAATCCAAGTATCTCAATTAGGTTCTTGTGGCTGGTAGAATCACATAAAAACACCTCTGTGGAGGTCAGTGTAGCTGCTTACAGGCTGCTGAGTCAGTTCCAAACAGACGGGTCATAAAGTGAATCCTCTTCTCTGGTTAGTCTCTGCAGCTGTTCACTGGGGTGAACTAGTGTCACCCGGTAGGAGAGACAAGAGTTTTGCAACATGTTCTCACTGAAATGCATATAATGACCACAACCTTTTAATACATGAAATGAACAATACACAGGTGTAGACGATCAGGCAGAGACAAGAAGCAATAAAGAGAAAAACACACTGCAGTGGCATTCTGTCAGGGCAGGCAGAGCAGCACTGAAATCTAGAAAAAGGAGAGACTTCCGGTTTGGAAAGCTACAAGATGGCAGCATAGGAGAACGTGTACCTGACGCCTGAATTAAAAATAATTAAAAATAGCCCATAGAGACCCGATTTCGTAAAGATTCTTATTAAAATAAGATAATTGAGTAAGGGCT